GGAGAGAATTTTTTTTTTTTTTTGCAAATTATCATTTATAGTCAAATGAGACGTAACGCTTCGTGGCAATCAAGAAACATTTCTTTTTTTTTATTTTAGACTTATGGGTTGTAAGAAAGAAAGGCTATATATCATTTTCTCTCTCTCTCTCTCTCTCTCTCTCTCTCTCTCTCTCTCTCGGAGAATACACCAGTCACAGTGATGATGGTTTGCTGTATTTCTTCACTATTTTGCCACACATTTCTCGAAACACACTTTTACGCGTTTTTCCCCGAATGTCCCAGAAACTCCACAAATGTGTCAAATGGCTCTGTCTTTTTTTTCTTCTTTTTGCATTATGACCAGCCTTTAAGAAGCAGACGGTGCTAATATTAAGTTAAAGCCGCCCTAAGTAAGATAAATAGTCACAACACCGCGGCAGATGTAGCGCGTGATGGATGATGGAAAAACACACAATACAGCTATCACTCAAACAAGGTGCCGTACAAGAGTTAGCGCAAAACGACCCCACTTTAAGAAAAAAAAAGGGAGAGAGACTAAGCGCTTCAGTGTCCTAGAACGCCCTGGTCTCCATTAAGGAATACGTCCCATGGCACGTAATTAAGAATTGAACTGAGTCTTTCTCTTTTTTTTTTTCCCATCTTAAAGCGAATGTTTTGACATCATTATTGACATTTTCTTTAAACTGGATAAATTTGCTAGTTGTGTTAAAATATGTGTGAAAAGCACTTACATATGTTCAGATATATGCTTTTTTTGTCAATGGTCAGATATTCGCTATTTATGTCAATAATTATTTGTCATTTTCTCAATGATTTTAAAATAGGCACGCGGTTTTAATCACAAACTAGTACTAAACGTTTAATTGCACTTGAACAATATGGGACGGAATAAAACGTTTGTGGAAAATAGAACAGACTGTGTTTGGTCATACCATCTTGTAATTAGGGTTAATTTCACAGAAAACGTGTTTTAAAAACAGGTGGTCTTGTCATTGGCGTTCACATCTATGTGGGAATTTACAGGTGTGGTGAAAAATATTTCTTTAGTACGCACACACCACACAAGGGGAGAGAGAGAGAGAGAGAGAGAGAGAGGGAGAGAGAGAGAGAAAGAAAGAGAGTTTATAAATAAAGAATACATAAAAATTTTAATTTGCTTAATTTCGTAACCTAACCGTCAAATTTGGAATTATTTTTCCCTCCAGTGCCTTTGGTCAGCGAAGGGCTACCGTATCTTACCTAAAACCTAAGTAACCACGCAAGCACTGCTTTGTTTTTATACTAGTGCAATTTGTCCTTGATATAAAATGTATCTATTTATTTATGAATTGAGATTATCAGTTGCAGTGTCTACCAAACCTACTTAACTACTTTATATAAATTATAGAAATAAGACAACAATTATCTTTTCCTTAAAATTGAGCATTATCACAACTCTAGTTGGATTATATTAGCAGAGTACAACGCCTAGGAATATCAAAGTCGCTATTCAGGGTTGAAGGCAGAAATATGAGGTCTATTATCAAAATTTCATTTTAAATACTCTAGGTTAAACATATAAGTTAAGAAGAGGCTGTAAAATAACATAGTAATTAGGACAAAAGACTACAAATCAATGTCTTTTGTCTCCTATCATTTCAATTGAGATGTTGTTCGAAAACGAGTAAACAGAATAAGTTATCTTTCCCGGTCTTTGAAACGCTTTTTAGTTGTAACCCACCATCTTTTTGTCGTGTTCAAAACTCTTATGTGAATGTACAATGCCGATGCACGACGTCATTTTTATTAGAGTTTAGGCATAGGGTACACCCATTTTAAATCTTTTTTTTTTCATTTTACCTCTCCTCAAATATGATAATATTCAGCAGGGTATACTATCATCATTTAAGAAGCGTGCAGCATTCCTCCGAGAATATACGCACATGTTATGTCTATATGAAATAGGACAAATAAAAATTCAACCGATTTCATGAAGCCCATGCATTGCTTATTTATTAGGCCATTATTGTATCTATTTTACTTTCATATTTTATTTATTTGCTGATGCCCACAATAAAATTTCTGTATACCTTTAATGTAAGAGTCATTCAAAAAATCATTTTTTTGAAACTGAAATGTATTCTGACCATTCGCTCTCGGTATCAAACCAAATTTATATTTGTTGGCACAGTTTAAGATTCGATGTTTGCATCAAGAAGATTAGTAAAATATAGTCTTCTGAGACAAAATTGCATTATTTCGCCAATAGATGTACGAGTAACACGTAAATAAAAGCTATATACGCGAGGAAAATACCTTTTAAGTGCCTATAACTGCAATATCATAAGATTAGAAGTCCATTTGAAATAATTGGATTAATAAACAAACGAAAGTGTTTCAGAGAAAGGCTTTCAGTGTAATCATGCCAATTTTCCTCCCCATAAATGGCCATTTAGTCTTAAATCGAAGAAGTGGGACGTTCCGTAGAGCAGAAGCGTAAATGCCATGTATATAGTTGGCTGAAGTGAAATATGTCCATGGTTTTCTCTTAGATACAGAGAGTCATCAATCTTCTTACTACAACAACCCATCATGAAAACCTGCTGTTTAAAAAGATGCAATTCTCCACACGAGGTCCCAACTCAAACTGCGACCTCCATTCATAAAGAACAACTTTGGCAGCACATGAGAGAATGAGTTGTGAACTAGTCTAGAATATTTTTTTTCTAATTCCTCTCACGCCAAGTGGCTTATCTTTGGAATGTATAAACATGACTTGACTTCAAGGCTCAGTTGAAATTTCTTTGTCGACGACGACCATGTAATACTGTACCTTACCTCAACTTTTTTTTGTTTATTCAAATTTATTCATTTTTTATTTAAAATGAAGAAATGCGTGGGTTTTCTCATAGTATGACGGGGATAAATGTCTTGGTATTAGAATTGCCATATAAGATCTGGCCATGGACAAGACGTATCTCAATGTACATAGTTTTTTTTTAATATTATTTTAATCTCGGTCTTTACTTGATAGGACAGAAAACCATTTTGAATAAAAGAATAAACACGACATAAAGTGGCGTGAAAAACAAAACGTGCAATTTCCTTATCCTTTTTGACCGAGCAAAGTGTTTGTTAATGGTGAATCTCCACAATTTTAAAATTGTTATTCCACGATTAGGAAAAACACTTTTTTTACTAGTGCGGTTGCACTCAACCTAAATAGCAATTCCTTTTTCTATCTCATAAAAGAAGAAATATCCCCCAGCAAAATTCCAATTTTTTCGACATCCCCAGACTAGAAAGCTCATTTCGCATTTATGACCCGCTTTCTGCAAAATCGATTTGCAGATCAATGAACTAGAAGTAGAAATAATTTCACTGACTTGATCTATTGACTTTTTCAGTTGCCCCTTATTGCAACTGCACGCGGCTTCCCGCCTCTTGGTGTTGCAGTTCGCGCTTTTATACCGTTATTTGATTTAACGTGGAGGGTTGACCTTTCTTCTTGGGTTGTCCAACTGTTTAATTTGATACCGTTTTCCTTGACATTTATTGAAAAGAAAAGCACCGGGTCAAATGTAGATAGACTATGCAAAATGCGTCTGAGATTGCGTTCTCTCTCTTTTTTTTTTTTTTTTTTTTTTTTGCGAACGTTGGAACTAGTGCAAGTTCATCTTCTAAAGAAAAAGAAAGTGCAATCGCAGGCGGTATCATGAGCAATAATACAGAAAAAAAAAGAAAGACAGTACTTTTCTGTTGCTTTCTGAATTGATCACATAGTCAAAGTACCACTGCATCTTCTTATTTTACACTGACGTTTTTCTGACTAGTGTCTCTCGTTTCTAGCTAATATATGTGTCATATTCCTAAAACAGAGTAGTCCAAGTAAGACTTTAAAGGAGAAATAATACGCTTTCTGAAGTTAATTTGTAAAAAAAAAAACAATTTGTGTCCCCATTTAGAGAATAGAAATCGGCAGGTGAAACGCATATTTAAAGGAACAGTCATTTTAAAATATAATAACTTTTAGATTTTTCAAAATCAATTAACATTGCATCTGTTACCGGGTGTTTCCTTATTTTATATTATATATTTGTCATAAAAGGGCTATCTTATCTAAATAAATACAGAGTATATCTATTGTGTCAAACACATATGCATACGCCTCCAGGATGTTCTATTTCTGAACACGTTCTCTCTGGTTATGGTTTTAGTGTCGACATAAAATATGCATGAATAAATTTAACATATTAAAAAGACTCTCTCTTGAGTTTCATTGAATATTCACTGCACGAGGTTTAAGATTAAAATATGAAACAATAATTAGATAAACATATCGTGAATATGCAATGCGTGGCAAAAGTTTAACTGAAAATTTATCATATATATATATATATATATATATATATATATATATATATACTTAACTTCTATTTCTTATGAACATGTACATTATAAACAAAGTAGTTTAATGAGCAAAACGTCAAACATTGACGCTTCTTAACACTTTGCGTATTCTATTGTGTACATGTTTTGAATTATTTCTACTTGTCAAGAGTATTGGGGGTGTCCCCCTGCTATCAACCACCGTTTCTAACCGAAACATACTGGGTTTTATTTACTATAATATGACGTAGATCTATGTCTATACACGTAAAGACTGACAAGGACAGAAATAAATGTTGATGCTCTTGTCATTTGTAAAAATCCATTCAACATTTGGCCCCGACATGCCAAAAATAGGTGAGAGAATTGTGCTTGCAGCAATAACGTTTGCCAATGTTCTGGTGAACGTGTTTGACAAACAACATCGAAAATGAACACTCATGTGTAATAAATAAAACCTATTTTGTTATATGTTTTAAGACGTTTTTGAAAAAGAAAACTTATTATCAGCGTGCTCATGAAATGTAAAACTTATGAAGATACCTGTGCAGTTACCTTATTTACATTTTGACAATGGTTTTAATCAAAGATTTTTCGTCAAAACGATGAACAGGATGGCAATAAACTTACTTCTTGTTCTAACTCCAGAACGTTGTGGGAAATGGGCAAAAATCTATCAGTTTGCCTATATATTATTGATTGATGTTGATTGAAACCATCCAAAGGATTTTGTGGTTTGTTGATCTTCGACAGGACAAGTCATCTGATTTGTTGTCTAAATCACCTGTAATTAAAATGGGTTTTTAGATACACGTACCTGTATATTGATATCTATAGACCTGATCAGCTAATGATGTTATCTATTTATTTGGACTCTGAACAGTGCTTTTCAAGGACACTCATTCTGTTTCAAGGGACTTGTAATTCTTATACAAATGTGAGTTACTTGTTTTACAGGCAAATTAGATGATTCACAGTATGCAGTATGATTGTAACAGAGTATGAATAATACAAAACGACTTGCTTAACTTTTCATTATATACATTCAAATTTTAGTTATATTTCAACAGATTAAAACATGAAGTCTAAACATATACTTACTATACTATATTTGTTCTTCGTCGAAGCTCAATATTGATTCAGATCTGAAATTAGACAGAAAACCTTTATCCTGCATTAATTAAAACGCGTCTCAAGTACAAAATGGTCTACAGTTGTTTCAAAAGATATCCCGCGTTTTGTCGGCTTGGTTCAGAAATCTCCACCATCTGTCAGCGTAGTAATCCGGTCTCAGTAAAGTGTACTGCAACGCTACGGAAACGCAAATTGTTGATAAGCAAACAAAAAGTGGAACTTAAATGAACACCCTGAAAGCTTGCGTTAGAGCTAAAATCCGCATTCATGTCAAACAATACGAAATATTGTAAAGACCTACGTGTATAGATTTGTTACGGAATACTTACATTCATACCATTTAACGTGCTGTAAAGAAAAGGCACTTAATGTATCACCAGCATAGATCTATCTCTGTAAGAAATGCTTTAAAGGCTTTTGCGATTTTTTCGAAGACCAATTCCAACGCTGCTCTGGGAAGTTGTACTTTTTAAAACGCAATGCGTAAGGTATCATAACACAAAACATATGTTTGGTGCCTCACCTATCCGATTCACCTGATCTCTTTTTGAAATCTGCATCGCCAATGGCCAATCACAATGTCTTAGATTTTGTAACTAAACATCTTCACTGCAATTCCGAAAAGATGATCCGTCTTTTCCAAACCATTTTCCCGCATCCTTAATATGGTTATTCAAAGTGTTCGGAAAAGACAATTGAATTCAACTCCCCTACGTGATAGCCGACTTGATGAGCTGGTGCTTTCTATTGGCTCACCTTGAGGTGGATCAGACGACTTGGCTTTAAACAATTTAACAGCTACGCTTGTGCTTTAAATTCCCACTTGCGCCTACAACGAGAGACTTTTAGCTTGATTAAAACAGAGACTCGATATTAATGTTTACAGCAAGTGAAGCACAGAGAGGCTTGTTTGTAACTCGTGGGACTCACTTTATCCACGTTATTTTTACTCTCTGGGGACACGAGGCCATCTTTATGCATAGTGGAAATCAAAATGTCCTTCTTCTCCTCAACCATAATATCAACGGTTGTGTACAAGAATTGTATATATTGTAAACTACACCAACATTCTTGTATTGTTGAATCAGTGAAGGCCTTCAAGACATTTTCATTACATATTTTACACTGAGATAGCTGAATGGGTTATTTTTACTTGGTATAATATGCAATGCTCAATTTGCTAGTGTGAGTGAAAATTCAATACAAAGACTTTTTCTTTATTTTCGACATCATATCATTACTTTTGCTCTTCGGTATCTAAAATGGACGCAGTAATTTGGTAGAGATTGGTTTTGCTTCTGCGGGAATCTGGGTTTCAAACGATAATATATTCATTATTATCATTATCTATTATTATTGTTATTTTTAATTGTGATTTCAATTAATTATTTCGTCTAACACTCATCTTTTTACCTATCACCCTGTTACATCTTTTACAGATCTACTAAGAATGTTTGATGTTTATCTTTTAAATATTTCCCTTTTTCATGATCCGAGTTATTCGAAGCGCACAACCCTTCAAATTTAACAATAATTAAAACAGAAATATTACATACTATATATGCACCATACATTTGAAGTCATTTTCATATTCAGAGCATCACAATAGCAAATCCATCAAAAGGTGTGTATTTGGTGGATATTACAAAAAAAAAAAAAATTAAAACGGGTCATTTTGAAATATACGACAGATGGGCACTGCACACATAGGTACTTTGCTTTTCCTAACAGGGATGCGTCTTAAGGTCAAGTCGAAAAAAATAAAAAAAACCGATGGTGTAGCAGCTTACCAGGCGAGGTGCATGACGCAGGAGAAGTCAAATGTATATCGAGAAGAGGGCTTAAATTCAATCGCCGCAAAGTTACTGAATAGAAGATGCCAGAAAAAAAGATCGATTTCTCAATGCTTACGCCAAGCTTTGAATGTCAATCAGCGGTGCCTCGAATTGCTTTGCTTTATTTTTGGAGACCTTTGATCCCACCATTACCGATGTTGTTATTTGCAATTGAAATGTCTGAAGGCTAGGCCTGTGTCATTTCATTTTACTAAGGTCCCAAGGCGGGGCAATATGACGGCGTGTCTATCAAATAGAAACGTAATCTAAACACCACACAAATGTGATTCAAATTTCCAAATTACAAAACTTACGCAAGGTTTTTTGTCACGATGAAAACTTTATGCGTCATCCATTTGCTAATCACTCGTTTTAATTTGTTCCTTAGGATATTATACAAATTTGTTTTTTGATAAAAAAATACGAAAGCAACATGGCTAGGGGTTTTGAAATTACTTTCCATTATGAAGTAACAGCCTTGAAGTAACAGTGACCCTTACTTTCAGAATAGGTATTGCAAAATAAGTTATACTTTTTAGTCGATGTTATTGGGTTATCGGATTTTATCAAACATTACCACATGCTAAATAAATGTATCTAACTTGTGAGAAGCACAGCATAACCCCCTCCTTACTATTAGTATTTCGAAAGGAACTAATCACTTCAGCGTATTGCTCCGCAAAGTTAATTTCACGAGTCGTTGCGTTTGCGGATGGTATTTGCCATGTTTGTTTAAATTTGCCTGACTTTTAGTTTACCATTTTCTGACTGAGGTCACTTGTGATACTTGACTTTTTGTTTTTATTTCCTTTGGCACTTTGTTTTGCTTAACGGGGGCGGTGAATACGTTGGAATGAACTCAGTTAGAAAAAAAGTAATCGGGATATCGAGCAATAGGAGAAACCAGTATGAATTCTCAGTTACTAGTGCAATAAGATTTTCTTCTAAAAAAACATACACGGGCTGTCCTTAATGACAGACTTCTAAAAATTACGTTGATTAGTTATATCTTTTTTTACGAACGCTCTTGACTGAATATTCTTTCAGATCTATACATTAAAAACCTCATTCTAAGCTGTCTACAGGTTTAGCGTGCCATACCGTGATTCTAACTTATGGCTTCTTTACCGTCAATCTTGACACGTTTTGCTCGCACTGCTTGAAAGGTCTCGCTGTGTACCAAATCTTCGATTGCATCACAAGTGGCGTTTCTACTATATAACATCCGTATGAGGATTCAACCTTAGCTATATTCGATCTAAATGAAATATACATAAACGACACAGCTGCGGTGTATTTGACTCTAACAAATTATTTCTATAATAGCACCAATTTTGTCCCTAAATAGGGTCATAAGCATGTTTAATGCTATGCCATTTTATGCACGTTTTGCTTATCTACCCTTACCAAGCTGCTCGTTTTGTTTCTATTTGACATTTGTTTATAACCCTTCCCATGTTTTCCAGTTTGGTATTTTACATATAAGGTATCAGGTGTTGTTTTATTTGTGTTGACATTTTGTTGATAGTACTTCACATGGTGTACAAGAGTGGATATTTGAGAGCAGCGCATTACAACGAGTCTATTTTGTTGACATTTTGTTTATGTCAATACACACGCAATGGAAACCGCAAATGTTTTACGTTGTGTCAGGGTGAACTGGTAAATAAACAGAACTAGTTACGTAGATAAAATTACTGTTTGGTTATTTCAAATTAAACGGGATTAATTGGCAGCAACAGGAGAAATCTCTCTAACTAACAAGAGCATTTTGTAGCTAAAACCACAATAGGATGTCGGAAAACTTTGTTTGAAAACCATTAATGATTTTGCTTTGGAATAAACGCTACGCAATAGACGCCTAACCTTAAACAGGCTGCTCTCTTCTCTACGTAGGCGGTGCAATCATTCGACAACTTTTGCTCACAGTGAAATTGGATTCCCAAATAATTATTTATTCTTCTCCAAGGAAAATAGGAGCTACAACCAGAGATCGAGTCATTATCTAAGAATTGCCACTGTTACCCAATACGGCCTTCTCTTCCCATTTCTACAGCTACCAAGATCAATTTGCCTCTAAAACCTGTTAATCGTAAACCCTTTTTTTAACTTTTGTCGATAGATGAAGGAATCTGATAGGCCAGGAACCTGCATAAGCATGGCTGTGTATTTCCAATTCATTACAAGACTTTCCACCATTGACTTTTTGAAGGGCAAGAGGGACGTTGGAACCTGGGGAGATACCTTCCCCGGGGAATTTATAATCTTTAAAATAATGGTCCAATGGGTTTGTGAAACTTTCCTGCTCTGATGGTATTTTAAGGGAGCAGGGGAGCGGGTTTAAATTGCTGTGACACAGAAAAGATAAGTCAGAAAACGCCTCTTACTATAGATATCACGAGACGCAATAAACCGAGAAACATATGGCTGGAAATATATTGGTTTGTACATTTCAAAAGGTAGTTTTATCACGTGGTAGGTTGTGTTAATTGCATGTATACATGCAAAAAGGGGTTGGGAAAATATGTTACTTAATAGTATGTTGTAAATACACCCAGCTTACAACGTGAAAATACAATGGGTTCCATTGATCTGGTATTAACAGAAACCAAATAACGGTAGATGAATGTAAAATTAGATACAACTTTAATGTATAATAATGATTGCTGTATTAAAGTTAGGTGCTAACATTGAATCAGAACTTCTGAACATCAAATGTCGCCTCTCATATCTTTCGTGGTAAAGTGAACCTAATTTTAGAAAAAAAATGTACATTAACATTACATTGGCCCGTAAACCACATAATTCTCATCGAGCTCAAAGGACTCTACATGCAAAAGTTACATAATAAACGAATTGTATTGACAAAATATGTAACGGAATAACTGCAAAACGCTACAGATGGGATTTTTATATCATGATTCAAAGGAATCGTCTATTTGCTTGCTACTGACACAGACACTATGGTTATCCCTAGAATGGAACTGACAGACGGACAAAGGAAGCAATAAAGCAAGAAACACTGCCGGTTTTGTGTATTTTGCTGATATAAAAGCTGCAGCGCTCAAATAACACGGTGGACATGTAATAATAACCCAGCAGAGCATGTCGTGTACATTTTAACCCATTTATCTCGTCTTCACACTTGGCGTGATGGAGCATTCGCGAACTACTATCATTGATGGAAACGAATTTGTGCATGGGTAATTACGGACATTCACATAAATCACAAAATAACAGGCTAGGCATATCTGTGGTTGCAATTTTACACTCGTTATTTTACGTGTCATCCGTTATGCTCTTTCAGCTTCTCTGAAAGGACTGCAATACCCAGGATAGTTCCAACTTCCCATTACAAGTTCAATACATGTTCCAGCCAACAGATCACGAAATGGCGGACATTTTTGTATCGGCTTGTCAGACTGGTAAACTCAGCAGAACAGTTATCTACGTTTTCCAAATGTAATATTGATTTATATTTTGTTCTCTCGTTTCAGGCTTGTCACATGTTGCTGATAAAAAAGGCGGGAGAATGCGGCGCGTGCGATAACGTCTGGAAACCTGGCGTCACCAAGACAACGACAAAAACTCACTCCTCATCGCTTCTGTGAAGTGCTTAAACCAAGAGAACATCTACTACTACTACGACCTTTTAAAATTGGAAAATGGACATTCGATCAATCCTTAACATTCAAATATCAAAGAGCATAATTGGCATACTATCAATACGTACTTGTGAAAAAGAAATATTGTGGCCAACTATATTCCAAACCAGTTTGCCAATTTCAAAACGCAAATCTGGTAGTATTTTGACTAGACATACAAGCTGCAGTCATTTGATCTGTTGTCTAGCAACACATTTTGCAAAAAGGAAATAAACTTTTTTGAGGATAACGGCAAGACGTTCAGAGATGAAGACGCCCTTACCGGAAGGCATTCAGAATTCTCGTCGTGTCACGAAAGATCTGATTTCTTATAGATCATGTATGGGTGAATCACCCCACTGAAACATGCAATTGTTCTATTCCAATCAACGGGCACTTACGTTTGTGTTAATATTGTAAGAAGGAAATGAAATAGCATGAGCTTGGCCTTAATTGAGACATTGAAGCATTGCTCAGAGTCGTATGTTCCGAGAGGTTGTGTGTGCAGGTTGATATTAATTTACAGTTAAAACTGTGATACGGCGACCACAGTATTGTACCTCAGTATGCTATCACTGCCCGTTGTCGGCTTGTGATGACATCACTCGACGATTATATTGTATAATCAATAAAATGTTAACCCAAAACCCAGTTTTTGAACATCTCATTGGTGTTGTGTCGTAAAAAGCAGCTGCATGACGTCATGGGTAAATTCACACACTCGGCAACCTTACGACAGCGACCCAAAACATGTACCAAAAGTTAAAATGGCAGATTTGGGAAGGGGGCACGGTGACAATTTTGTTTTGTTAACATTACTTGAAGTTGCACAGCGTAAGATTTTCACTCAAAAAACTACCTAGCGGATTGGCTTGGGGTAAACGCTTATTTTCACCTACTAATCAACCCTTGATCCCCCTTCCCTGACACTGGTCATAACTCTGAAACAATCTGGGAAAATCAAAAAGTCCTCAGACCTCAAATAAAACCGCTATCCAGATGGGCCAGACTCTCCGGCGGCGCGTGGGCTTCAAGACTGTTTCAAGAATGTTGACATTTGGCGAGGTTTGTCAGTACGTGATAAATTAGATTATTTTGACGACATTAATTTATAATTACCATTTCCCTTTAGATAATTTCAACAAGAAGTGGTTTGTATACTAAGTAGAAAATAATAATAATAATAATAATAATAATAATAATAATAATAATAATAATAATAAGTGCATATGAAATCTTAAGTTTCGGTTCTTTAATTATGTTTTTATATCGGCATAATCGATTATGTTTATAATGCATATTATCTTAATTTGTACTGATATACAAGCGCTTGCCACTTTGGCAGAACATTTTTATAGTATAAAACATTATCACGAACATATGCTAATAGTTTATTGTTAACTACATTGCATTGCCTTGTTAAAACCCATTATACTTACGCGCATATACAAATATACATGTATGTACTTTTGATGTAATCGTATTTTACAAAGCACCTGTGAAACGATTATATTTTATTATAGTATACCTTGTTATAAATTCGTTTACTCTAATTAAAACTGTTTCACATGTCGTTTGCCTACAGAAACACTGAATACTGCATGGTGTAGCGGAACAGGCTAAGATAAAACGCGATTTCAAAATTCTTGAATATAGGTGATGCAGAATACTGTTGTGGGATTCCAGTACATCTTATGAAACAATACTGCCAAGAAGTGGTATGTTTAGCGTGTTGAGACGACTTTTAAGAAAATATTGAATGTTTGTGTCCTTAACATATGACGTCATGTCATCGTGCGCGAGATCGGAAACGTTTAAACGTTGAAGCAAGATAGACAAGAATTTTTCTTCTTGTTTTTCAACCTTTTTGTAAACAACCATTTCACTCCCTGTCATCTGCATTTAAAAAAATGACAACGTTGTCTGCTTCGGTCTGCACTTGGCCTCATCGCCACCTACATTAAACCAGTCATCATTGTATAGTATATGTAATCCATTATTTTATTTGGCATTGTGTATCATTCCTTTGATGGGGGGGGGGGGGGGGGGGGGGGGGTAATGTGTTTTTCAAGATCTCTAATGCGTTTCAATTTAGAAATATGGTATAGAGTGCCTGTGCCAAATGTGATAATAAAATATCTACTATGTTAGAATAAAGTACCTTAAGCAATTCTTTATCGCTTATGTTGTCTTCGGGTACAGTACAATCACACATATGCATTCGATTATTCTTCTACACTTTTTATGTTTGCTAAAAAGATTGGATATCCATAAATTGATGACCGTAAGTGTATTAATCAATCTTCAATGTACCGGTATATCAAAAAATAAGAATAGAATCAAATCGATAGCAAGACCTTGACATGCCAATGGGCAATTACAACCAAGACATGCATGACTGATAGGAGAATTGCTACAGTTCCATGCTTTGTATTCAGGCATTTTAATATGAGACAGTCCCATGTGGACGTGCACAACTCCTACCCCCGCCCCCTCTCTGTCTCCATAAAAAAATCCGTCCGAGGAAAATACACCTGTTTACCAATGGAGAAGTTAATGGTTTGTTTGTGCATCTGAAGTATGATTTGAATCATTGGGTTTTGGTATTTTGGGGGGTGAAATTGTAAGTTATAGAGAATGTAATTTTCTTTATTAACTTAACTAAAGGAATTGAATTAAAGAAAAATATCACAATAAAACGACAAGCCCCAACAAGTGAATATCAAACAATTTCGAAAATAACAGATGTTTCGTACCCCTATGTTCAAATAGAAATACCGAGTGTCATTTCAGAGCAGTTTAGGTCGATACGCACATTTGTGATTACAGACATAGAAAGTTTAGGTTTCCCGAATAATTTGCTCTGAAATGACACTCGGTTAGCTATATATCTGACTTAAATTGAGATGTAGATCCTTCTTCAATTCCCCATACAAATGTCCTTTTACGTCAACGCATTGACAAGCTAGTCTGTCGGATTAAACGTTTGTCACGAATCTGGTAAAATCTACGTTAAATGAGCTGGTAATGTCTTTTTAATTGGGGAAGATTGCGCAAGACTTCGGTTTATTCAAACAGAAGTAGTTTAATAAAAAGGATAGGGTCACAAGCGCACGTGCAGTGAGTGAGGGAGAGGAGGAGAGACGGAGACTGACTTGATTCACCTAATTGATTGATTTCTTTTGTGATTGAAGCTTTCAAACAAATAGTTGCCCCTTTAAATGGAAAATCCAAAACCTTTTAATGAGAACAACGCTAATTACTAGCCACACTAAAAACTTATATGATATTAAATATGCGAACAGACCAGCCGAAACTATGCAAAGAATTGCATTAATTAAAATATGCAAATATGCTCAAAACACTGACTTTAAAGCCCATTCGTAACATTAATACATCAGGCAAACTGCGTTAAAAAATTAAAATATATATGCGATGAACTGAGAAATGGCGATATCCTATGCACCAGCCAGCCAAGGCAGGCGTTTCGTCGTCAGTGATGTTATTCGCGTTGGCGTTAGTTGCGTGGAAACATTACATGTCTATTTACGTTTTGTTTCAATTGATTTCTTTTTTTGCTACTGTATAATCACGCGCAACAATTTTCAGAACAAAGTCAAATTCTTCATAGAGTACTTTATCGACTATATGTGCTTCAAGGGTGCATTTGCCATACATAGACAGAACAAAATCCTTTTAAGCTTTTCTACTAATGGCCAATGACTCGAAAAATGTCGCCGAAATTTGAAGGGAAGTGGTTTAAAAATCAACAAAATCATATATTGCCCAACAGAGTTTACAATTTCCCAACAAGAACTTATGCTCATGGCTGATTTCATTGTATATAAACACCAAAATAGTTCAGTGAATTAACTGTGAACATGTAATAACTAAAATTAAAAAAAAAAGTAAGGATAATATCTTTTGCAGCATTTTTGACCGATTATTTTCGTAAATGTATGTGCATAAATTTACTAGAAGAAAGCGCAATTCATCACATCTAGTGTGAAGAAATAAAAAAACTATAATGATAATGATAATAATAATAAAATGAACCAACTAATTCTACATGCGCAGTACAATCTTCCAAAATATTTATATGACGATACAATAAAAAACGCGTACATTAAAGAACAAAATATGTTCCAACATTTTCCCTCCCCTACTTTTGCCCACGATAACACGAAAAAAAAAATTAAGAAATCCCACAGACGACACCTCCGTTCCCAGTGTCGTCTGCACCTGTTGCAAACAACAATGGCGGACCACCTTGCGCGATATTCTTCTATTTTCCTTTGAGTGAACGTTCAGGTTGGTGATCGTGATCGGGGGGCTGGGAGCAACGCCATTAATCATGTCTCCACGCCGCCCTACTGTCATTCCACACGCGGGACGCCGGGGAGCTGTCTTTAAGTCCCCGAAAATATCCCGGAGATCGACGTCTATTTCAAAATAACAGCGATCAGAATTGCTTCATTAAAATGTACGTTTCCCACCGCGCTGTCTTCATGGGATAGACGTTTCGTTGTGTAACAGGTAACAGGCTGGGATGTAGAACACGTCGGGTGCAGAGGATTGAAGGGCGGGGGGGGGGGGGGGGGGAGGGAGAGAGAGAGAGAGAGAACGGGCTAAAGCACTTTAGAAAGCCCTGAAAGTTTTAATCGCCGTCTTCTTTATAACCATTGATAGACCGTTTTATTGTAATCATTATTTTTATAACTTATGCGCTTGATTCTCCAAATCTAGACACTACTGCACTTTTCATCGTCTCATTTCATCATTAAAAAACGGCATACTGGTATATCTATTTACCACTGATATACTCTTGTCTATTAAAGATAGACTGATATTGTTCCGGTTGCAGGTTCTGGTACATATTTGTAATCACACACATATATATATATTCCCATTTTGCACTATTATAAAGGTATGGACCTTTAAATACTCTTTTGCACGTTCATTTTTCCATTATTACATTATTTTTATTAGCTACTTTTGTATATGAAACGAGGGAATGTGATATATAATCATTGTTTGGAATTCTATATACATATATTTTTTTCATTGTTCCGTTTATTGAAAACGTCCATCTCACTGCCTTCAGTTTTGTTTTATACCAGAATTTGACATAACACTGACTTTCGGATTCAGACGGATGGTTGCAGTGTCCTTAAGCAGGGTTTTCGCATCAAGCTCTAGCTTATCGACGGATTGACTAGAAGGGTATTTCAATCATGTGCTCACTCTCAATTGTAATATAAATCAATCGTTTACCTTGCTCGTCCCGAATCTGGTCTTATTCATAATGTTTCTAGATGTAACGCCATATAAAGAAAACGAACTGTTAAAAACAACACAGTTGTCTTGCACGTACAAGAATCCATTACTCATTCTTACCGATACTTGTCTAAGAACAAAGTGAAATCCGTCGTTTTGACAGTCGACGAGAAAACGCCGTGCAGTCAATTCAGTAAAATACACCGGTCACTGGTAACACAATATCACAAAGAAAGATTAAACTAATTTTTGCATGTACTATTTTGACAAAGAAAAAACCCATATTGGGACAGCTTTCGGCACGTTCGTTTTTCGTTAATGTGTCTAGAAGCGTGAGAAATAACATTTTGTGTGAAAAAGAAAAAAAAGG